AAAAATTAAATGGGCAGCAAATCAACTGCAGTACAAAAAAAACAAAACTACAAAAATATATTTTATAGTCTGCTACTTTGTAATAGTACTTCTTAGGTTTAGAGAGGTTCTAAGGCCGTTAGAAAAAAACACCAGTAGAGATAGGCAACAAGATTTTACAAACTATATTTAGAACATTACATGTTACCTATTGTGCTGTAAGATGTAAAATAGGTCAGAGAAAAGGCTAATAATTATATTTTTTTCATAATTATTTTCCCTTTGTTTGATCTTCAGCCATATTTAAGGCAGCCTTTTGATTATTTACGTCTTATGACCCTTAATATTCCTTAAATACACTGTTTCTATGGTTGTGAAAAATAGTTTGAGCATAATAGTCTGAGCATAAAATACATTTTAATGCATGTAATGTTTTCCAGCTATACAGACAAAACTTTACAACTGACAATTATGTTTCCACAGCTAAAAAGCAACTTTAAATGACTGACAGTATACTTGACTGTTAATTAGCATTAACATATAGAACTGACTGCTTTTCAGCTGCATCAGTCCCAGCATGCATGACACCCTGACCTTTCTTTCTTACATAAAACCAAACACACTTTCACTTTTCCAACATAATCCGTTCTACAACACACAGTAATTTAGCAACATCAATAATGGAAACAATATAAATGTATAAGATCTAATTAGCAGTTTATTTTATATTTATCCCAATCTTGAGGTGTATGGTGCCAAAATCCACTGAAACTGCTCTCTTTGGGTTCTAAAGGCCATGTTTTGATTGTTCTTTTATCAATGAATTATGTAGCTTAGGTCTGTACAGTGTATATATATATATATATATATATATATATATATATATATATATATATATATATATATATACGATCCTGAATAAACAATGGATAAGCCAGGTTTTTTAAAAACACCATAATGTCGCTTTTAATTTGTAACAAATGATTACCTAAAAATCAAATACTAACTTTAGTGTGAAATGTCATACATGATGTACAATTAGTTTTTTATTCCCAAACATAGAGCCAGTTTCCAGTGACCCAAAATGCAAAAAGGTTTAGGTAGATTCAATAAAGGTGCAAGAAAACATGAATTTCTAAATTATTTCAAAGCTTTTTTTTTTCAATCCATTAATTCCAAAGTATGCTCTGGTCTTTTTGGGAGAGTTTAAAGCAAAGACGAATGATGAATAATGAATAACTCACTGTTTGAGTGACTCTGGCATATTTTGTCTATAATATAATACTGTATTTTGATGTGTAAGTCAATCCTGGGCTCTATAACAAATGCTTTCTAGGACAGGACTACCTCTGCGCTTTTTCTGAGGAGCGTTTATTTTAATAAATAATAAAAATACTACAGACTACTTTCACTCTAGGTTTAGTTTTTGAGTAATCTGTAAATTTAAGACAAAGCTACATTTTCACTTCTAAATGGAAACAGCGATAAATGTGTGAAAGAAAATTTGACCCTAAATGTGTGAAAGAAAATTTGACATGCCGCAAAACATTAAAAAAAAAAAATTAAACTCTCAGAATTTCCCATGAATCCCTCATATTAGCACTTTAAGCTGCAGAGGAAATGTACACAGTGAAGAAGTGAGAATATTTCCAACTAGGGGAATCCCAAGTTCTTTTGTAAAATCGTAGACCAACAAGGTTTGAGTTTCCTAAGAAGTGAATCTCAAGACCTATGCATAGAGGGAATAAATTTAGAGGAAGTATGGAACAGCCTAGTAGGCTAATGCCACCCTTTTCAAATCACTGCTGCACCATTATGAGATGATCATTAATTTATTATCATGGGCACATAATTATTTTTGCTTGACATTTTGGCGCACCACAGGTTCTGAACATGGGATAAGAGTAAGGTAATACCCCTTAGCTGCCTGATAACCAAACCCAAGCCCTAATAATGCCTAAAACTACATGGTAACTGGGGTTTAATTTGGCTGATTCTGCACACACTCCCTTCTAATATAATTAAACGTTTCATACAGAAAACATCTTTTATACAAATGTTTTTGTATAAAGCTATGGCACAACAGATGAGGTGGCTTAAATCTCACGCCCTGCAGAGGAACAGAAATGAAAACCTAAAGATTTCAAAAACAGTTGAAGCTTTTCTACCTTTTTGCTGAGAAGATGAGACACAGAGGAAGTGGACTGCATATGTCCTGAATAACATGGACTGGGAGTCGCACACAGTGGCTGTGGTTTCGCTTCTTCTTTTCAGCACTGAGCGTTGTGGATGCTGCCAGGAGAGGCTGTAAATAAGTGGAGAGCAAGAGCAGAGCTGGAGTATGAGTGGAGAGCAGCTGAGTGGGAGGGTGAGGAAACTGAGGGAGGGAGGTGGGACATGAGGAGTGGAACTGGAGTAGTATCTTTATTAAAGAGACAGAGCTGATTTATTCCATTCTACTAAATAATATATTATCTCAATAATGGGCTAGGTACATTTTAGTCCTGTTAATAGATGTGAAATTTTCTCCTAATCAGCATTTTATCTTAAAGATTGAACTTATCTTGGGCAACGTGTTAAAAAAAAAAAATGTTATGGTAAATTAATCAAATATAAATAGAGGCCATAAATCATATGTACATTTACTGTCATGCTTTATCCCTGCTGGCGTCATGAGGGGTGCTGGTGCCTATCTCGAGCTGTCAATGGGTGAGAAGTTGTGTACACCCTGGACAGGTGGCCAGTCTAACGCAGGGCAACACAGAGACAAACAGGAAAAACAACCATTCACTTTCACACTTAAGGAGAATTTAGAGAAGCCAATTAACCTAACAGTCTTGTTTTAGGACTGTGGGAGGAAGCCAGAGTACCCAGAGAGGACCCAGGCATGCTCAGGGAGAACATACAAACTCCATGCAGAGAGACCCCGGGCCGGGAATCGAACCCGGAACCTTCTTGATGCAAGTGAGCAGCCCCAACCATAAAACATATTTTTTACTATTTATTTCCTTTAAAATCAACTATATGTACATTACAGAGGGGAGTAGTAACAAGTTTAATTTACTCAGTTACATTTAGTGAAGAAATCTTTAAGAAATAAATGTAATTTTAGTAATTATACTTCAGGGTAGTTTTTAATTTTGCATTAGTATTCTTGTGAGTCTATAACTCTTACTCAAATACATTTACTTTACCCACCATAAGAAATAGGAGCAATTCAGAGATCAGGGAAAATACCATTAATCTGTCAATTATTTTTTCGAATAATCAATTAATAGTTACCGTATATAATATATGTTCCATTAACAAGGTAATAAAAAATGGCTCCTTAAAGAAGACTTTTTATATTAAACCAGGTAAAACTAAAAATTTTCCACTTGAATTCTGGATAGAGCATATTGACAGACAAAAAAAGCTTTTATTTTTTTTAAATCTTAAATGCAAAATGTTTATTTTTTTCTTTTACAATTTTAAAACAATTACTTCTCTATGTGGGGTGCTCTGCCAGCTAAAGGCATCTTTGAGAGTCTCTATACTCCAGTTAATGATTATTCGATTACTTAATTAGTTAATGATTGTTTCAATAATCGATTAATAATGATTAATCTCATTGTTTCCTCGCTATACTGTATACAGTACATACTTTTAGAATTGTTTCTTTTAAGTTCATGCAGAAAATTAGATTTTAAAGTGTTTTAAATACACACTTGTAATGGCTTTATTTAATTTTAAACTTTTAAAATGCCAAAAATTGCATATCACAGTGTCTCCGATTGCATAATTTTAAACATAAATTCAAACAACTAGTTAGTACTTGAGCAGCCATTTAACCAAGCGTTTTCTTACTCTTGAGTAAATTCCTGGATCACTACTTTCTTCTTTTGAGTAAATAAAAATATTACAGCTGTACCACTCTGGTAAATTATCACCTTTTTATTATTATTAAAATCTCTTCCACTCTTGTCAATTACTGATATTGATGTATTTGGATTTCTCTTACTCTAGTATCTCATCTAGGTACAACATTACTTTTAATTTGTGGTGCTCCCAGTATTACATATGAATAAAAAGTATTACATGTAGTATGGGCAATCATCCCTCCTCAGAGAAAATCTATAAAAAAAAATCTATAAAAAAAAAATCTAAAATTACCAACTATAATCCGCAGGTGAACAAGGCATGTCTATGATGTTGTTGCTGCTTCTGAAGTTTACTGTTACAGATATTAATAGAACTCTTTTGTCATCTGTGATCTGTTTGGTGTTCCAGTAGGCTACTTAATCTCAACTTTCTCAGGATGTGCCCCTTTTTTTCTTTTTTTTCCCCCTTCAACCACAAAGTATTTTCTTAGAAGTTTAGAAGTTAACCCATAAACAATTGCAAATACCTGCCCAACAGTCCAAAATATATTTCTTGGAAGCAAAGATGACATACAGAATATAATAAAAATACCACAAAGATGACTGCAATTTATTATATTGTGCCACTGTAGCTTTCAGATAGTTGCTCCATTAAGATGTACCATTAAACGGCAACTTAAATATTTCATGCATGCAACAAATGCATCTATTGATGCTTTAAAAGATTATGTCAAGATATTTTTGGTTATTTGATGTCTAAAGACAAAACAGCAGAATAAGTATTAATTCGATAAAATTCTGTTTTAATACTTATCAAATAAGTATTAGTCAAATAAAAAAAGGAATTATCGTTACAGATATTCGTAGAAGTTTTTCTTCAAACCTAGTTTCCAAACAGAAGTATCTCCTCTTTTACATGATATGGAAATTTAACTTATGACTACTTAATACTTATGACAAATATGCAAAAAATAGAATTTTTCACAGCAAGCAAGCTGTACTTCAGGACCTTTTTAATCAAACAATTATAAAATGTCTGACCACTTCTAGGTGCCTCATTTTGATTTACTATTTAGATGTTTTTAACTTTATTGTAATTAGAATCATAGAGGCAAGTAGTCTGTTAACAAAATTAACCAAATACAAACTCTTTAAGACCAGACATTTTTCTTCCAAAACAGGTACATTTTATTTATTTATTTATTTTAAACAGTATGAAGAATCAGGTACAGTCACTCAGCTACCAAGCAGAACTTTAAGTGCTTGAAGAGAAGCTCACATGAACATTTTTGTGAGAAAAGCATTTGACCTTTAACAAAAATATTATTCAAACTCGTTTCATATTTAGGATTAGTATCAACATTCGTAACTAAATACTACTTGAAAGTTTTGCTTAATTCTCGCTGACCTAACTAAATGCAAAGACAAATCTTTTGCACAGGTTAACATCAGGTAAACTACAAAGACTTAGTGTTGCTAAAATGCACTTGAAGGCTTCACTCAAACTTAATGCCCTGAGCCAGGGGAAGATCCTTGCTGTAGTTTATTGTACAGGTGGAGCGCCTCATGTACTGCTTCCAGGAATCGCTGCCCGATTCTCTTCCGCCACCAGTGTGCTTTTCGCCACCAAACGCTCCTCCGATCTCAGCTCCGCTTGTAGGAATATTGACATTCACGATGCCGCAGTCAGACCCTTTAGGCCCCATCCAGCGGAAAACTCTGCCCATATCTTTGGTGAAGATGCTGCTGGACAGACCCTGCTTGACCTCGTTGTTCCAAGCAAACGCCTCCTCTTCTGTCTTGAACTTGAGGACGTAGAGGATTGGGACAAAGGTTTCGGTGTGGACGATGGGTGCGTCATGAGGCAATCCTGTGATGATAGTGGGCTCAACATAATTTCCAGGGCGATCCATCACCTTCCCCCCACAAACCACAGTACCACCCTGCTGCTTGGCCTGTGCGATTGCAGACAGATACTGTTCCACAGCTTGTTTGGTGTGCAGAGGGCCGTAGAGAGTACTTGGATCCCAAGGGTCTCCAATTCGAACTTGTTTGTAGGCCTTAGCTATCCTCTCAACCACTGTGTCATGGACACTCTCATGAAGCATCAGCCTCCTAGTTGTGGTGCAACGTTGCCCAGCAGTTCCTACCGAAGCAAAGACGGCAGAAGGAACCACAAGGTTGAGGTCTGCATCCTCAAACACGATAATAGCATTGTTTCCACCGAGCTCCAGCAACTTGCGTCCGAATCTTTCCTGCACCATCATTGCTACAAGCTTGCCAACATGGGTGCTTCCAGTGAAAGACAGAAGATCCACACGTTCATCCTTTGCCATGGCGGTGCCGATATCAGCGCCTCCGCAGGTCATGGAGCAGATAGCCCCGGGCAGATTGTTTTGTTCTAGCACCTCTGCCACAATTTTGGTGACTGCAACACTAGTGAGAGGGGTGGTTGGGGCACCCTTCCAAAGGCAGACGTTGCCACAGGTCAGGGCGATGGCGTTGTTCCATCCATATACAGCCACAGGGAAATTGAAGGCAGTTATGATGCCGACAAGACCAACTGGGTTCCACTGCTCCAGAAGAGCATGTCCGGGTCTTTCAGAGGGAAGAATAGGCCCACCAATCATTCTTGACAGACCCACTGCATAATCACAGACATCAACGTACTCCTGGACTTCGCCCACTCCTTCAACATAGATCTTACCCATTTCTAGAGAAACCAAACTTCCAAGCACTTTGATTTTCTTTCTTAATGCATCCCCAATCTGCCTCACAATCTCCCCTCTTTTTGGAGCTGGAATATCTGCCCACACCTTCCAGGCCTCCCTCGCCTTCTGGACCGTTTCTTCGTATTCTGCCAAAGTTGCCTGGGTAACTCTCGCTATTGGCTCATTGTTGGCGGGGCAGTAGGACGTGACTACTTCCCCGCTGCCTCCCCAGCTTCCGTTGTAAACACCAAGGTTGTCCTCAGATAAACCCAGCTCCTTCAGCCAGGAGTATTTGGGCTGGTTGATGAGGAGACTCGACATGGCTGCTGACTGGCGGCAGTGAACAGAAGCTAATTTATTGCTCAAAAGTAGCCTGCTGTGCCGGGCAAGGGTCAGAGTAAGGCAGCGCTGCATGGATGCTGAAAACCAAGGGCAGAGTTAAAAATTAATTTAACATGTCAGATGGCTTCAGGAGTGAACAAACAATTAACCTATAGGGTTATGGTTTAACTCTAAACCACCAAACAGAAAAACTGCCTTGCTTGTATTTCACAAAAATAACTTCACAAGTTACAACACCTTTTCATTATTTATTTTAAAGTTCCTGGTACAAAAAACAAAAAATTATATGACCAATTAAGCTGAAGCTTCTAGAAAATATATAATTTATATATGAATAATTTATTCAGAGAGATAAAACAACAAAGATGGATCTACTCACAACTTGTAGCTCCCAAATTGGTTTATTCACCAGATACAAACAGTGACGTTTAGTGCCGCAATCCCTTCCTTCTATTTTGTCATCTGTGATTTTTTTGGTGGTCCAGCACCTAATCTCAACTTCCTCAGGATGTGCGTGATTTTGCACCTTTTTTAGGCGAAAAAAAAACTACAATTAATAATACTGCACTGTAAGCGAAGACAATATCCTCTTTTTTTCCTTCCATTCACCAAAATCTAGATAAAGTTTAACCCTAAACAACTATAAATACCTACCCAACAGGCCAAAACATATCGCTAGGAGCAAAGATGATATACAGAACAAGAAATTTAACAAATATACTGCAGAGAAAACTGCCATTTATTATATTGTGCAGCTTTCAGATAAGAGTTAAAATTAAAAATTAAATCCTTCCTGCATGTAAAAAACTCACCTATTGATGCTATAAAAGGTTACATGTTGAGATATTTTTGATTTAATGTCTAAAAGACAAAACTGCAGAATAAGTATTAATTTGATTAAAATGTGTTTTAATACTTATATTAATAAAAAAAACATCTAAACATAACAGACACCGTTTTAACCATTGTATTTTAGTGAAATAATAATAATAATAAATAACGTTTTTATTGTGGAATTTCTGCATCATAGGTGCATAATAAGAGAAATTCACTTAATTGCCCCAAAAACTTGCTGGATTGCATAACATTAGTCTACCTGCTCTGACCAGAACACATCAAGTATTACTTAACCTGATCCAGTGTATTTGTTTGCCAGTGTTGGGCAATCATAAGGACGCTGCTCTTAACACGAAGGCATTGGTGATATTAGATAAATAGGGGAGAGAGACACCCCCTCGTGTCACCTTTAACTGCAAGATTCCTCTGACATGAGCCGCTCTAAAACTAGATCATATGTTTGAACTGCTATAAGCGCCATGAGGTGACAACAGAGATTAACAACCGTGGATTCAACGTGCTAGTTTAGCTGCATGGCAGCATATCCTGTACATACTGCATCTGCATGTTAGTTTATTATCTAAAAATCAAGTTAAAGTTGTTTACGAGGAGTTGGTTTTACTCACGTTGGTGTTCAGACGACTAGGCCACGTCCAGTCAAGAGCAGGGAAGTACTCGCTCACTTAAAGGAAGCGTTACTTCTGTGCTTGATTGTGATTGGTCAGCTGCTCGACGCACGGCGGCGCGTGCTTTGTCAGAACGATCGATGCTAAATGCTAGAAGCTAGCTTTTGTTTTGATTGAGCATCGCAGGGTTTCTTTTTAGCGCTACTAAAAAAGAGGCCGCTCTTTGAAACACTTGCACGATGAGTGGCGGAGTGTATGGAGGCGGTGAGTGGGAACTTTAATAAAAATGGAGCGAAACCTGAGGAAAACTGTGCGTCTTATATTAGCAGGAGCTAGGTTTGGAGTTAGCTAGATTAGCTAGCGGTGCTGACGCTCCGCTCTGTGTAAGATCAGATACACATTGTTTTTTGTTTTTACCTCCGATAAAAATATTTGAGAATAATGCTATTGTTCGATTTAATTTAGATATATCTGTTTGTGTTTCAATCATTTAACTAAGCTTAATTAAGAAAGGAACAATGAATGAAAGTGCGATGGAGGAAGCATCCATTCATCTAATAACACATGAGCTAAAAATGAACTTATCGCGCTGTTATTGACTGGAATAAAGGAGGATTAAATAATAAACCATAGAACTATTCGCTATAGTGACCATTCACTATAGAACTATTCACTATAGTGAATAGTTCTATAGTGAATATATATCATTATTCTTGTCTTTATTATTGAAACAGTGCCACATTCACAGCTCTAACAATTTAATTAATTTTGTAAATACCATAGAGTAAATATAAAGACCAAATAATACTAAAAAAAAGTACATTCGACGATGCATTGAAATGATAGGCGACATGTGTAACATTGACACAAACTCGTCTTAAAACCCATTTTTATTCTTTTACTTTTAACACAGTAAAACTTTCTGTTTTCTTGTTTTATGGTTGTTTTTAGATGTTTCTTTTTATCAGGTTTGTATTTAGTTTCCTTTTTTGTTATTTTACACTGTTTTATTGCTTTCATTGCTTTTATTTCCTTGGTATGTAAAGCACTGTAATAGCTGTGGTTGTTTTAAAGGGCTCTATAATTAAAGTTGAATGTAGTTTTAGACCTCTTAAGTTTTTCATTCGTATTTTATTTTATTGTGTTTACCTTCATAAAATAGCTGTTCAAAATAATTGCAAAGCATTGATGTGGACATCCAGTTACTGTCTTTAGGGAGGTTGCTACAAAATATTGTTTGTTGATTTTAAATGAAGCAACATTAGGACACCAGGGAAAAAAATCATAAAGTTTCTAATGCATTTAGCAAGTATCACCATGTGCATATAGAGTATTGATACATGGCACTTATTAAACTAACTCTCTTTGTTGCAGTCCTTTACAATATTGATGTGTCACACACTGATATAATTGTTGGCCAAAGTTTTGCAGTTGTATCTTCCAGCTGCTCGGACATTAGAGAGAAAATGTTGAAATTATTAAAGAATGACCATTGTGATTCTAGTAGTTCATTTATTTTAAATAGTATAATGTCTTCAGGACCAGACAGTCACTATTTTGTTACTATTCTATTTTTATCAAGTTGCAGAGCTGAAATAAATCATATTGTGCGTGGGAAACACTAATTGTATAAACGCCTTACTTTCTTATTTCTTGTTTATAGTCTTTTTCATAGCCAAATTGTCAATATAAATGAATTTTAAGTTCTCATCTCCTCATTTCTCATTGGTTTCTGTAGATGAGGTGGGAGCTCTGGTGTTTGACATTGGTTCGTATTCTGTAAGAGCCGGCTATGCGGGAGAAGATTGTCCCAAGGTAGGTGGATCACTCGGATGACCTGATTAGGTGGGAGTTTTTTTCTTTCTGAGTTCCTGCTTGTTTTCTCTGGGGGAACACCGGTGTCAGGAAATTAGTGCTGTCACCCCAGAGACAGACTGGATAAATTGAGTTCAGATCATTTTGGAACACTTCTTTGGTTTAGATTTGTGTTCTTTTGAAAGAAATATAGAAATGAAGCATCAGAGACATTGATTTGTTGCTGTTATTTTTTTATTTTTATATTCTATATTTTTCAAAACACTTTCTTTAAACACAGTAGTCATGCTTGTGTCATTATTGTTTCTATATCACTGTTTTAATGCATTTATGTCAGTCTACTGTCTTAATTCAGTGGTTGTTGTTTGTTCCTGATGACTTTAAATGCAAGAATTAAAAGTGGTTTCCATACATAAAATGCAACTTTCCTACTAAGGTGTATGCATTCATTTACAAATACTTATAAGATATATTTCTATAAAGTATTAGTTTCGCTTTAGACCTGCATATATGAATAAAGAATTTCTGACCAAAGCAGGAGCTATGACTTTCCTATGAGAACATCTCTTAATTGTTTAGGAAAACCATTTTGCAAAACCTTTTGTTTTGATCTGCAAGCATATGAAATGAAAATCAGATATTGTTACTATTTTTAAAAGTAAAACAGTGGTTTGCGTAGTTTTCTCCAAAGCAGTATTTTGTTCATTAGCTGAACTTTATGATTTTCTACATCAGCTGAAAGCCAGTTCTGGTCAGAAAGTTAAAGCTACACGTGTGCATGACCTGAAATTATTTTACTTTTGGTTTGTCCTGGCCTAGGCCGACTTCCCAACAGTGATAGGTGTTACTATTGACCGGGATGATGGCAGTACGCCCATGGAGACAGATGGCGACAAGGGCAAGCAGAGCGGCACCACCTACTACATCGATACCAATCAGCTGAGGGTTCCGAGGGAGAACATGGAGGTTATGTCTCCCCTAAAAAATGGCATGAGTGAGTATTCAGTTTTATTGTGAAGGATAACTAATGAGAATTATCTTAAAGACTAAAAAAGTTTTCTTGATGAAAGATTTAGAAGTGCTGGATTGTTAGAATTTATTCTGATTCTTAGTCTGGTATTTTTCCAAGTTTTTGTTATGGTCAGTGATGAAAGCTGTATAAATATTTATAAATCACTCAGCTTGATACATATCTATAGTTAGACCCTTGCGATGTGACTGTAGGTGAGTTCGTCACAACCTTGACTGATGTATGCATGACGACTGTTTGTGAATATTTATGAGAATATTTTGAGCCAAAGCCACTCAGTACAGTCTCACAATTTTTTTATTTTATTTTTTTTAACCAATGCTTAAATGTCAATGTACTGCATAATCAACTGCGGGGGTCATGTGTCCAGAGCTGTCATTGGTACTAAACAGACTTCAAATATCACCAAACTGCACTTGTAAATTAAAAGAGTGTATGTATATAGAGGCTTGGGCATATTTTTCCACAAACTGCTCTGCAGAACCTTTTCATAAAGAACACACATGTTGTTGAAGGTGCCGTGCAATATTTAAAATGTATGTAGTAGTTGCAGTTTTGGGTAAAAAAAAATTAAGAAAAAAGAGATTAATTAATGCATTATTTTATTGTTGGTTCTACCATTATATTGATTATTCAAAGTTGTTGTTTATAAAAAGATTTAATTTTTAGACGGTCAAGATTTTTTTTTTCCACCCATCCATCCCTCGGGCTTCTATGATTCATTCATAATTTTTTGCTGTTAAATGTGCTCTCATAACTGATAAACTAGCTCCCTGCAAACACTAGCTGCAAACAGCGTCAGATTCAAATCAAATTTCGACCCAAGTGTAGCCCAGCTCACTGCTACCTACAACCCAATGAGTTAACCATGTTAATTGCTGCAGAGCACCACAGTGGGACCATTAGTCCCTTAGTGGGCTGACCTGGAACGTTGGTGCACAAATTATTATCTAAAAATAGTTCATCGTTGCTCTAATTCTTTTATCATTATCTTGACTGGGTCAAAAAATAGAGGTTTTAGTGCATTTGATGTTTAGTTTTGTTGCCAATGAAAATGTAGTGAGATTTAACTTTGTTTCTTTTTTTATTATTTTAAGATTTTTTTTTTTTTTTTTTTACTGATAAAGCAGTACTTCTCAAAAGATAATGTCTAAATATGTCTAAATAACGTCCGGCTAACATTCTCTTTTCTGTCCCTTATAGTTGAGGACTGGGACAGTTTCCAGGCCATTTTGGATCACACCTATAAGATGCATTTCAAGTCTGAACCCAGCCTGCATCCTGTGCTCATGTCAGAAGCATCGGTGAGTTTCTTCTTTTCTTTTTTTTTTTATATCAGTCCCCTTTGATACATTTTTGCTCATTGTGGAGTCAAAATATATTTGTGTACTTTTAGCACAGGTTGACAGCAACCGTCTGTTTAGGATTTGTCAGATGCCCTTAGTTCTTGTCTCAGAGAAAATATATCAATGGATTTGAAGTGTAGCGTTTTTTGTGTGCACTGCTGGTGCGCATTGCTAGTGCTTAGGGTGTGCATCTGTTTTAAGGTACGTAACAGTGACGATTTATTGTGAAGCAGTAACGTCTGTTTTGTTTGCAGTGGAACACGCGAGCAAAACGAGAGAAGCTTACAGAGTTGATGTTTGAGCATTACAACATTCCTGCCTTCTTCCTGTGTAAATCAGCAGTACTGTCTGCGTATCCTTCACTGTTTTATTTCATCCAGGAATGAAAACACTTTGACAGAAACAACTGGGTTGATTTAATTATTACCCTTTCTCTTCAATGTTGGGTTTTCTGCTTATTTATGAAACACCACCTCTGCTAACAGGTAGCGTATACTTTGAACCCTCTCTCTGTGTTTCCTTAACTTTAAATGCCCCAGCTTTGCCAATGGACGGTCTACAGGTCTGGTGTTGGACAGCGGGGCCACACACACAACAGCAATTCCAGTACATGATGGTTATGTCCTTCAACAAGGTAAAACCACAAAACAAAGACAAACAAAGTTCTATATCCAACACTGGGATTTAATTTGTAGTATGAAACCAAATAGGAAAAAAATGGTTGGAATTTAAAGGTGGATTGTGTTGTTCTGTCTTTTCTCTGCGATTTGATGCCCTCTGCTGGTTGGAGTATGTCTTGATGATTTTCTGCAGTAATTTTTATTCATGCTGCAGTTTTGGGTTTAAGTGATGCAGCGGTCTCTGTGCTCCGATTATTGAAAAATAGGAATGTTGATGTTTTTAGTAGCATATTATTAGGCGCTATGTCTTATGACGATCTTATTCTAATGGTTTGACTACTTTGTTCCTGAAACTAACTTCAATTCTTACAGTACGTTTATATATTAACGCATTCCTAGAGCCTCTAGACACGTTAATGTGTTTAAAACTCATCAGAATCCTCATTTGGGTTTAAATGTGGTGGACCAAAACGAAGCAGCGTTTAATTCCTTTCCTCTGATAATACCTAAAGTAAAGTCATTTAGTAAACAGAGCTCAGTTGTCATTAACAGTAAAAAAAAAAAGAGCTGTTTTCGATTGCTTAGCTTCTAATAGAGCCCTGTTTAATGATCCAAAAGCTGAAGGAGGAGTACCAAACTGCAAACATACTGACGTTTTACTCTCCACCAATGAACTGAGAGGCTGGATGAACATAAATCCGAGAGTCTGCCAAGATGTCCATGGGATCTGTTGAGATCCATTGCATCTGATTGGAGAATTCCTTGAAACTCGCTTCTGCGCTGCTTTGATTAATAATAAATTCAGTCCTTAACAAGATGTGAAAAGGTTTTAGGGCATCTGAAAGCTGTATGGAGAGAAAAACCAGCTTCTGCACTTTGTGCAAATTCTGATCAAACAGTGGAGCAGAATCCAAACGAGACAATTAAAAAAGTGTAATTTATGTGAATTCATCAGAATAACAACTGAGATCAATTCGTCACTCTCCCAAAGTAAAGCTGACCTCATGCTGTTTTTAATCTCTCGTTTATTTTTGGGCAGGCATTGTAAAATCACCTCTGGCTGGTGATTTCATGAGCATGCAGTGTAGGGAACTGTTCCAAGAGTTAAACGTGGAGATAATCCCTCCCTATATGATTGCCTCAAAGGTAAATATAAGGTTGAGTTTTTTTTTTTCAAAACTCAATAGTTTTAAATTTAACCTTTACGTGGCTGACTTTGCTAATCTGCGTCTGAATTTGTCCCAGGATGCAGTGCGGGAGGGAGCCCCAGCCTGCTGGAAGAAAAAGGAGAAACTACCTCAAGTGACTCGGTCCTGGCACAACTACATGTGTAATGTAGGAATGAGCTCTTCATTTGTTTTAATGGAAAATAAGGATTTCTTTTAAAGTCTGGAAATGAATGAGTGCTGTTTTCTGTGTCTTGCAGTGTGTAATTCAGGATTTCCAGGCATCTGTCCTGCAGGTTTCAGACTCTCCATACGATGAACAGTGAGTTTGACATAAATTTACATTCATTCCAAAATTACTTTTTACAATATTGTGTAAAAGATTTATCATTTATACACAAAATATTTGGTATACCCCTGTAAATCACGTAAGTAAGGTCTTCCCCTCCAGAACTCTGGAGTCTAGACTGCAAAAAAAAAAAACAGGTCGCTCCTTGTATTCCAGTGTGGTTCTATGTTGGATGCCACTTATGGAAGTGTTCTTGTTCAAAAATACTGTGTCAGCTAAGAGTGGTGAAATTGTCAGGAAGTAAGTTTAGGCACAACCGTGCACAGACTTTCTGAAGGGTCAAGAGTTACAGACCTCGAAACTTCATGTGGTCTACAGATTAGCATAACAAGCCTTGTGGAATGGATCCCCATGGCAGAGCAGATGCATCCAAGCCATACATCAAGTGCAGTGCAAAGCCTTAGATTCAGTGGTTAAAGAGCGCCACATCTGGAGTCATACTCAGTGGAGACCAGTTCTCTGCAGGGACCCATCAGGTTTTTGGCGACTGGTCTGGGTTGGGAAGTTTCCTAGGTAACAGACCTTACTCGTATGGATGGGTACTTATATCATTTTTGTCTTATTGTAATAATGTAAGAAGAAAGTGTTTTTATTCATCCTGATGATAGTGAAATTCAAATGAATGTCTGAATTCCCCCAAAACTCAAAATATTTTTAGAATACTACATTACATGCATTTACTTTGTGCAATTTAGTGTAAACGTAAATGAAAAATGCCTTGTCTGTTTTAAAAATGTGTGCATATTAATAGTGATTAGTCAAGTTAATAGTGAAGTGCAGTGGAAAAATGTTACAGCTGTATGGTTGTTTACAAAAATAAAAGAAGTATTTAATACTATGTCACCTTTAAAATGACAGTCTTAAATAACTAATACCATAAATAATGTGAAAACACATTTTTAGACCAAAAATAAGCTTTTTATGGCTTTTTTTTTTTACATAGTCCCCGAAGTGTGGCAAAAAATGCAGATGTTCAGGTTCTTAACCATCCATTTTTTTTCTGTTCTTCAGTAGACGTGCTTTTCTCTCTCTAAATGATTTTCTCTTCATCTTATTTCATCAGAGTTGCTGCTCAGATGCCTACGGTGCACTATGAGCTCCCTAACGGCTACAACTGTGACTTTGGTGCAGAGAGACTGAAGATCCCAGAAGGGCTGTTTGATCCCTCTAATGCTAAGGTTTGTGCGGATTCAAAAGGCAGCGTTAAACTAAAATAATTCTTTAACATTTAAAGATGGTAAACCTACTCGGTGACCCCAATAATTATTTTTATGGAGGACTAAATGTTTATTTAGGTCATTTTCTTAAGGAATGATTTGACACAAGAACTGCTCCCATCCAGGGCCTTTCCGGAAACACCATGTTAGGAGTTGGCCATGTGGTGACGACCAGCGTAGGAATGTGTGACATCGACATTCGACCTGTAAGTGTTGACAGCCATTTAATATATTGCAACTAAAATCTTCTCTTTTTTTCCCAAAACAAATATGATCAAAATATGTTTATTACTGCAGAAATGCATTGATCGGTTTGTGGCAGATGTCTCTATTTTTGTTTCAGATACTAAAAATAGTTAACTTTTAGTCTTCCTCTCCCTAACACCATTTTGAATCCTGTAACTTTTTGTTACGTTGCCTGTTAGTACTTATTGTTGTTGGTATAATGCAGTCGCTAATTAGAAAATGAGTTTCTCCCTGGATTTCCAGTTTAAAATAGTCTGATTTACTTGTTTTCTGTGTATCTCTTAGTCAGTAATGAGGGAAGTGATTGGCTTCCAGTTTCTCTTCTAATGTTTTGATTTCGATGCATCAAAGGGTCTGTATGGCAGTGTGGTGGTAACGGGAGGAAACACACTCATTCAGGGCTTTACTGACCGACTGAACAGAGAACTTTCACAGAAAACTCCTCCAGTAAGATAAAGTCATCTTTTTTACACCATTTTAAATTTTAAACCACAAATTAAATGATCTTTGATCTAACTGCTAGAATCCCCCATGTTTGTAATTTACAGAGTATGAGGCTGAAGCTGATTGCCAACAACACTACGGTGGAACGCCGCTTCAGTGCATGGATAGGAGGCTCCATCCTGGCATCACTTGTAAGACCATATTCAAGCTTTTTTACATAAGCTACTTAGCATTTCTTACTTTAATTGAATATGTAAACATTAGTTTACTTTGGGTGCCTGACTGAATGTTTTATCTTCTCCAGGGAACTTTCCAGCAAATGTGGATTTCTAAACAGGAGTATGAGGAAGGAGGAAAGCAGTGTGTGGACAGAAAGTGTCCTTAATGTGACATCCAGCCTCAGCTTTTCTGTTCCATCTCCTTTACTAGGTTAACATTGTGAGGCATTCACCTCTGACCCAGACTCAGGAACGCTCAACTCTTATTTTCTATTTGTTTCTTAGAGTTGGTCACCTGTCAGGATCTCAAAGAAAAACATCAACTCCTCAAAGATCTTTTTTTTTTTAGATTAAAAACAGACTGTTGCCTTATCTGTTACCTGTTGATGGAAATGATGCAGTGATACGTTGTTTATAATTACATTTAGAGGAAAGTCAGAAACACTTGTGCAGGATCACAGCAGGAAACTAAAAGGGTAAGACCATAAGTGATAAAAGGATTTTAATCTGGAGGAAGCATCATATAACTTGATGTGAATGTCTTCTGTTTATTTTGTACAATTGGTAAATTTGAGAGCATTTGCCCCTGGTTAGTCATATTTCAACTAAGATCTGTATTTAATTCATTTTTTACTTGTCATTGGCTTCATATGATCTTTGAAAAATAAAGTCATTTTTGTTATGGTTACATGTATATTTGAAATTTAGAAGTTGTTTATTTTATAAGTCTGAGGTTGCTTTATTCTCACGTGTCAGTAATGAAACGGAACACATCCAAAAGAGACAGTTTATCTTATTTAACCAAATTTCATGAACTCAATCAGGTCACTGTTTTATAGCATACTCCACTGGGGGGAAAAAAGTTTTGCAGTTTCATGAAGATGGAACCTTCATCTGAGGAAACCTCTCCTTTAATTTGGCCAAGCTTTTCCTCTTTAAATCTGCTTTTCTGGCTTTTTCCCGAAGGAATTTCTCAATACGCAACCTGTCAGAAACAAACAGAAAAACAGGCTTTGGTAAAACCCCTTCTTACATATCAAATAATAAGTTCAGCAAACAGTTCATATGATCTTACCTTATGTGAGGCTGGACAAAGTAGGGTGTGTAGAATTTCTTGCGCTTATATCTTTTATTCATGTACCACGGAATTGCATATTCCTTGAAGCGATACCTGGTATAAAGCGGGACCATATATTACACAAGTGTCATGTGTTTTTTATATGACTACTAATATCCAGATTAGATCTACATTTAAAAGCGAAGTGTATAATATTAACTTACACTGATGTATGTTATTTATTACCACCTATGAGCTGAAAGTCTCAATCTTTGTTTGCATTGTCTTAGAAATTGCTATTAATAATTAGGAGTGTGTATTTGTGGAGCCAGACATCTGGCGCTATGACAGAACAGCTGTCGAACTAGTCACTAGTGAGATCACCATTACGCTCGAATGGGACTATGGCAAGCAGGCAATCAGTGAGGAAACACCTGAAGAACGAGCTCTATGACCAGTAAGATCTGGCCCACTATAGTTTCCCACTGAAAATAACGGATTAATGCTGGTGTTTCAAACGTGGGTCGACCCGCTAACAATCAGCATTTGGTTCCCTTCCCACTGGCAAAAAAAGCTGGGTCTAACCCCTCGCTGCAGCTACGTGTCTGGTGAAGCATTGATGTCAAGAGTGCAACAGAAATCAGGAAAGTAAACAACAGAGAAACATGTAAGGAAGCCAGGGTGTAGTCAGTGTGCTTTGTTTTGCTATTTTGTCCCTCCCAATCTTTCTCACCAGTGCTGCTCCATGTTTATCAAATGTAAAAAGAGTTGTTTCTCCTTTTTAGATCAGAAGCGACTGGTGCGGTGTGCTGACGTTCGTACTTTGCAGTCAATGGTTTTATGCAATTTAGCAGGTTAACCTGGCACTGGTGTTCCCACAGCATGCAAATCAGAGCTGAGGTTGTTTTAACGTTGGTCAGAATCTGCGGGCAAACTGAGCGACGGAGCGGGATAAGAGAAGACATTGGGTGGTAAAACACGAAACAGTCCCTCTAGGGCCTTTTAAAAGCCACTCACAAACCTTTTAGAAGCATTCCCTGCTTCATTCCTATTGTCTCCATATTCCATTTTAATTTAAAAAAAAAGCTAATCCCTGCCGCCTCATTTACTAAATTATCGATCAATTCATGATACTTTCTCATCTCCTCGTTTGTATACTTGTCAATTTACTTGTGACAATAGTAATGTAGATTTTATGGATTTGATGCTGTGATCTAATGTTTATCGTTGCAATCTGACATTGTAGCTTTAAAAATATGCTGATATTAATAAAGAAGAAACTGAGATGAGAGGGGGCCAGGTAAAATAGACAGTAATTTCAAGATGAACTAACAATCTCTCACCAGTATTCAAATCCGAACATGTTCCTCCTCCAAGCTCCCGGCCGGCCTTTCTCCTGTCCCGTCTGCAGCAGACGTAATGCCGTCTCCCTTTCGTTCACCACCGTGTCCAGCCTGATCATTGACCGCTCCACCTATAGGCACAAGGACCTCCCCATTAGACAGAGTTTTGATTTCAGCACCATTCAATAATTTGCAGACATGAGCTAAAAATTAACAGGAAGTGGACCAACCTTCCTCAGCCGTTCAGGACTCGGCATCTGGACCCTCTGTCTTTTTGCCTCCTGCTCCAGTGTCAGCAGCATGTTCCTTTCCTTCAGCAGCACATACCTGAAAAATAATTTAGGTTTGCTTTCACAATGTATAACTTTTTATTTTATTTATTTATATAAAGCTTTCATTGCAAAAACATCATGGGTGTGTGCTATTCTAATGTTTATTTGAACCAGCTTCTACCGACTTCCCAAAGTCCAAAAGCTTTCGGCAGAGCCTTTAGCTGTCTCAGAAACGATAAATAGGCGCATATTTTTAAAGCAATTATCAGATGGATTATTTCACCCAAGATTTAATTTCCTGGGAAGTCTGTGATAACCAGCCTCTCATGGAGGTATCAGTGAGTACTCTGCCTGCAGCATTTTATGGAGATATTTGGACATCTAGCTAACTTTGCACTGCAATAGTACTGACTGGAAGTGACTGCTTAGACATGTTTTATCACTTTTAATCTGGGAAAAGAGATTTTGGCTATGCCCCATATGTGGTACATAGTTAGGACTTTTTCATTTTAATGGGACTTAAAGAAAACTACCAGAAAAGACTAGGTTTCTCACTAAAGTAAAAACAAGAGTAAATAAAACCAAAGTAATATAAAATGTATAATAAGTAAATCTCTTGAATTTCCAGGGTCAAATAAAGTTAAGTCTGGATATTGAGGACTTTTTCTTCAAGACAAGTTTGTACTTTTCATAGATTTCTTTCTCTAGGGTGTATTAAGAAATATATCAGAATAACACAAAACAATGCATTATACTTTCAAAGGCTATCAGGGGCTTCCAATTGCTCACCAGAGTTTGTGTAAGTCCTCATTACTCTTTGTTCTCAGCTGTTTTGCTGTCCATGGAGCTCCTGTAATGAATAAAACAGTGACAGACAAACTTAAGATGAGATTATGCATCAGGAAGGACACCTGATTCTGTAATTTTTCATATATCCTGAATCACATAAGTACCGGTAATTTTAAACTGCCCCTATAAAAAAAATACATAGAAGTACAACTCCTTCATGCCAAGGCCGGGAACTGACATGGCGGAAAAAAATATGTAACATGAGGCCGAAATATCTATTCTTTCCAATGAAATACTAATTCATGCACACTTTATATGGCCATTATAAGCATTTTTGCTGTGTTAAAACATTTTGTAAATTTTCTAATTCCATCTTTTGAAAAGCCTAAAGAGTCTAAAGTCATGCATTTTCCCCTCTACGTTCTTCCTTGGTGCAACACAGCACTGACTACATTTTATTTCTCAAACACCTGAGTGGCCCATCACAAACTATTGGTACCAGAGAATCCACTTCCTAATCACCCTTTTTTTCCCAGCAATAGAAACCAGTGAGGACCAGAACTTTAAGAGGTGGGCCTATAGGCTTCACCCTTAGAGCATATCGCTGGTGGGCTAAAGGCAGAATCTCCAGACCCCAAAAAAAACAGCATCTGCCTACACGGTCAGCCTTCATCACGTGTAAATATGCAGCCAAGTAATACAGAGGAGAAATGGTCTCTGGTCACCTCAGAGCCAGAGATCACTGCTGCCCTGAATCGTGAAGACAAGGTTACTAGCTGTAACAGTACAAAGGGGTAAGAGAACAGAAGCAAAGCGATAAAAAAAATCCATAGCTGGCTCATGCGTAATGATGCAGCATAACAGGCACTGTGTGTGTAAAGCGCTGCTGCAGATCTAAATAAACTCTGACCACTTGAGGTTTGATGAAACTCGGCTCTAGTTACTTTAATGATCTAGAAGTCACTTTGTGGGTTTGAGGCTCCAAGTCATCTTAGGTGATAGGTGATTGTATTTTTTTGTCTATCATTTTGAAGCTGTTCACTCTAAAAGAGAAGGTCCTTTCTCTTCTCTTTCTCCTCCACGTATAGATCATATCAGTGCCATGTTATAAACTGCACTCCCTATAAGATGAGCATATTACTATGAGACAAGTAATGAATGCACTTATTTGTTGCTTCACTGGATCACTCTGCACTTCACATGAACATATTTGTATCCTTTCCTCCTTCAATTGGACCTTGAGCTGAAACGTAAAGTGTTAAAGGCCAACACCTATTGGAGAGGAGCAGTGTTATTTTATAGCACAGTCACACACACACGTCGGTTCATCTGGTCATCTTTTATACGTGGCTGTAAATATTTTATTTAAATGCATCACTGAGAAATTGGAATCTCTTTAAAGTTTATCAAACACTTAAAATACAAATCAATCAGCCTATCCTTGTCTGTTATCTTGGTTTGTTCCTCTGTTCCTGAAGGTGCGCTGTAGGAGGATTATGATTTAGAATTTTGTGAGCACCAATCGTTTATGCTGTGGCCACAAATAAGTACATCAGGAGACCAAGTCTGCACACAAATGTGTTTTTCCAGAGAACAAATTAGTATTTTGTGGGAATGAATAGTTATTTCATGTGCACATTATATAGATACTTTTCCCATGTCCTGGGCTCCGTACCTTTACATAAGTTCTAGTAAATGTATTTTTTCACCTGACTTCACAGTGGACTCTCCCCAGTTCTCAGGGTTATCAAAGAACTCTTCCAGGCCTCTTCTGCTGACGCTCGTGTGCAGAGCTCGATGCTGAGCCACAGAGTTGATGGGAGAGATCCAGGGAGGGGCAATCAGGGAGATTCTTTCACTAAAGAAGGAAAAAAGATGCACATATGATTAAATGGTATACGGATCGCTCCTTTGGAACATTCAGGCAAGATGGAGTAATCCTTTTTTATTTTTTTTTTTTTTTTCTCTCAATACATTTACATTATTGAATACCAAATAAAATGTTAGAACCTGACCACAGCTATTACTATTTCAATGCAGTTTAAAAAAAAAAATGTTATACACTCCAAGACTAACATTCTGGAAAGTTGAGTCCAAAACATTCACAATGTTGGGTTTCATCATCTGTATGTTTACCAAAACCAGTCAGACCTTGTTTGGGTTATCATTAACTAATAGATTCTTGATGGGATACTTTATCATTTGTATTATTGAGCATAAAAATGGAGAGAAATAGCTTGTTTTAATGTAAATTTTCATCTTTCTCTGTATGTATTAAACATTAGCATCACCCTGTAAATATAACTCATAGTACAGCCTTTCAAGGATTATAGTGTTTGTAAAAATCAGTTATAGATTACACATTAAAGCATAAATGGGGATCTTTTAGTAATTCATGTTTTGTTTAATTTAACACATCTTGGAAAAAGCCTGCAGTGCATTTGACCAAATCTTGTTTCATGGTCCATACATTAAAACCAACAGAAAGGCAAAAGGTGGAGTCAACCAATCAGATAAAACAGGAAATCTGTACCAGAACGAAAACCCTGATTGGTGGATGTCAAAGTTAATCAGTTTGATATTACCAGATCAATTGAAGATGAAATGTATACTTTTATTTGTAAATTAATCTTAAAAAGTTGTTGTACTTTAAAGAGACATATATCATTTTTATAAAATGTGAAATAAGGCTTGGAAACTCATATTTATAAATTCTTTGTGATCCTTGCGAGAATTTATATGAAGTAAAGGGAAATCCAGTCGAGGTTTACGTTTAGTTTGAGCTCATCATTTTCAGAAAGAGCAAATAAGTGTGCATTACAGACGGATTGAAGGATTGATTGGTCTGCTTATTTAAATGATAATAATAATACATCCCCACAGTTATACTAGCCTACCTTAGAAGATTTTGCTGGCAGATTTTCAGATTTACGGAGCAGTGCTGAACGTTTATCGCTGGAGATATCCTGAAGACGCTCTGAAACTGTTTGCACAGAGTCAAAACGCGTCCTAACGAAGAGGACGACGCCATGTTTAATTACGATTACCCAACATGCATTTCGTGTAAATTATCTTTATTTATTTGCATTTTTTTTTTTTTTTACATTTTTTTCTATTATAATTAGACACATGTTATGTTAACTAATATACAAACACAAATAATAAAGAATAAGAGGGGAAGCAGTTCTAATTATTGTATTACTTTATTTCTTCTTGAGCCAATCACAGCGCGGCTTGTTGCGCTGTCGCCACAACAGCAATGGTGGGCATGAGCCTTCTCAGGTCGGCTGCTTCCTTTGCAGCAAGGTTTGGTCCTCTGAAAGCTGGGAACAATGCGGCGAATTTACTCACTCGTTCCATCCCGCGGAGTGATAAAGGTCAGACGATCTCCACTGCTTTAAATAGACCAGCCTTGAACCCTAAAATCGGCTCCTTTTTGCGATGACCTTGCGCTAGGTCTTGTTAGCATGCTAACACAGGCTAAATGGAGACTTGCCTTCTGTTATCAATTCAGTATTTATATGTAGGTGCTATTATTTGCTGATGATACAATATTTTGCTGTGGGAAAAATCTACAGTGTTCAAGAGCTGGTTTGTTGAGAATAAACTGATATCAAATTTAAGCACAAAAGAGTTGAACATTTATTTTAGGATAAGCAACATAGACATAGAAAGCTACTTCAATTAAATTTCTGGGAGTAATGGTTGATGACAAATTAAATTGGAAATCGTATATTAGCTAAACATCTTTTAAGTCTGGCCTCATTTCACACTTTTCCTTGTTCTTTTTTACTACCCTGCTTAACTTATTGTGTGGAAGTATAGGGAATTACTTACAAAAATGCAGAATCTATTTACATCCTACAGAGAAAAGCAATTAGAATAGTCTAGTGCTGATTAAAGCCAACAGACCAACTCTACATTAAAGTGAAAGCACAAAAATTAAGAGATTTAGTTGATTTATCTTTAAGGTTATCCATTAACTAGTACCACAAAGTATCCAGGAGTTGTTTTGGGTGAGGGCAAGTACATAAAGACCTGTGAGGTGCATTTATGCTGAAGATGCAAAGAACAAATGCAAAGCATCGCTGTCTATCAACTAAAGGAGTTAAGTTATGGAATAACTGTAGCGATGAAATGGAAAGGTGTAATCAAATGTAAAGATTTAAAAGGCTTTTCCGAAGCTTTTTTTGGACAGATATGAATTATGTAAGGGTGTTCTTGAAAAACAAACAAATCATTATTTAGATTAGTGTGTGGGAGTATTTATATATATATTGCCTGTTGTTCACTTTGTCTGAAAAATAATGATTTTTAAAAAGTGATCTTCAAATGGGGGTCTTGCTACGTTTATATCACAAGGTGATCATTTATATATTTATATGTTAAATCTTAATATTTTTCATGATGTCTATTTCCAACAGAAAAGCATTTTAAAAAAGATATGTGTGTGCACACACACATACATCGGTTAAGGTGATATATTACAGTAGATTGCAAGACATAACCGTATATTTTGACTGTGTAGTGTAAATAATATTTCTATAATGTATATATGTAATAATTTTTATTTTTTATTTTAGAGGTTGAATCTGCTTGACCTTTTTCATGCTTATGTTGGTCAATAACTTTACGCTGACATTTAAAACAGATAAATATTTTACAAAACTCTGTTTATTGTTGTGAAACACCATTGTAAATATTGCACCAATTGTTATTTGCATTGACAGGATCATGACAGTAACTATTGCTCTTTTTTAGTGGCGATCCGTTGGGGTCATGGAAAGAAAATGTTTGTGGTCAAACCATCTGACTATTATGACAGAAGATTCCTGCGCTTATTGGTGAGTATTGTAGAATAGGTTATTTGTGGGATAAAAAGGTTTTAGACTGAACTTTACTACTAAATGTAAATCAAAAAGCCTACCTTCTTGGACATAATTATTGTTAATTACAAATAATATGATTACCTTTTTTTTAATGCAGTTTTTATGCATTGATCTTTGCTAGTCTATCACATCCTGGCAAAATATACAACAGATTTTTTAAATGTTTTTTGAGAATCCTGGAAATTTTTCAGAAGACAATTGACATCTTAAGAAAAGCACTTTGTAGCTACACTTAAATGACAGTGGATAGATGTATTGAAAAACACTGGTTGTTGTTGAATGGGGTCTCGATTTCGTCTTTGCTAGAGGATGTGACCGAGAGAAAACTGTTAGGTTTTCACCCTTCCATTTTCTTCCTTCTATTATTTTTGCAGCAATATTATATCCTGCTGACTGGTATTCCAGTGGCTGTATTTGTAACAGCGGTAAATGTCTTTATTGGTAAGTAAAATTTTTTTTGGAGGAGTTTAGAGTCTTGTACGTCTATGTACCCATTTAGTCTTTCTAATAAATATTTAAAGGAAAAAAACAAGTCCATTATGTAGCAGTGATCATAAGTTGTACATAATGTTTTATTTTGTAGGTGAGGCAGAGCTTGCTGAAATTCCTGAAGGCTATGAACCTGAGTATTGGGAGTACTACAAGGTGTGTTCCTGTTGGCTTTAACCAATGTTTTGGGAATAGTTTGGTTCTGGTCTGTTAATATTTAGATTAAGAAACCACAGTACTAAAGAAACACAGAAAAAGCTTTGTTTGTTTCCTTATTGTTCTTCTAATGTTTATTTATTTTATTTATTTACAACTGTGCTCTCTTTTAATTATTATTGCACTAATGAAAAGACATGAGACTTTTGTTTATCTTTTGTAGCCTATGAAATATATTTTTGTATATATATATTTTTTTACAAATGAAAACAATTTGACTGTGGTTACAGGAGTTTTAATTTCTTTGTTTAAGGAGTATTGAAACATACACTGTTCTATAAAAGAAATAAGAAGAACTGATAAAAAAGGAAATGTATTGCTCTTTTTCCGAAGGTGCTTCATTGTTAATATTTGGTTGTTTTTGTTTCAGCACCCCATCACCAGATGGATTGTTCGGAACATGTATGATTCCCCAGTGAAAGACTATGAAAAGGTGATGGCTGCTATCCAAATGGAAAAGGAAAAAGCAGACATGAGGTAAATACTAGTTTTTCTGTCACAAAACTAAGACCGGATGAAATCTTAATGAAATTGAAATGTCTTTATGATTCCTTTTTTGCAAAAAGCAAATTAAGCTACTTGAATTTTAGATGCTAAAATAAAAACAAATAATATATTTCTTGGATTTAAATAGATTCTCAGGGCTAAAACTTAAACTGTTTGTAGGGGCAGAAGTCCCACCAATAACATAGCCCCGTTTTCCTGGGTATAAAATGCTGCTGGCAACCAAAAGAGACAGGTTGATTGTCCTGTAGATTATTTCAGGCTGTGCCATCACTGAAATCATGTTATGACTTTAGATATTTTTCTGATGTGTTTTCTAATCCCTGAACAGACTGACACAGCTGGAGGTGCGTCGGCAGATGAGACAGACCGGAGATGGCCCCTGGTTCCAGGTGCCAACTCTGGACAAGGAGCTAATTGACAACAGCCCCAAATCATCACCTGACAATTAAGAAGGGTGTTAAAGCTGCATCATGGGCATCAGTCCAACTGTTTGTAAATTGTTCCCTTGTTGCTTTAATAAAGTATCTTTATGTGGTCTGATATCCAGTTTTTGGCTTTACTCTGCTGATATTTACAAGTGTCCCATCCAGGAGGTAACTTCTCCTTTACTCCTAGGAGGTATGACATTATTTTCCAAGCCTTAAAGAAATCAACATCTCTTTCCAAAGACAAATGTTTAATGAAAGCCATAGATCACACAAATAATGAATTCCTATTATTGACTTTATTTTAGACTTTTTGCTGTTAAAAGTTATTTTATTCCTTTTGTCCACTAGATGGCATTGCTCTTCGTTTTGAAGAATGTTGGAGCGTTTCTAACTCCTGGATTCTTGTTATGGTACTGCCAATACAACTATACACATTGGATCATTATGTTTTAACTTAAAAAGGTGAAAAATGTTTAGGCTGCATTTGAGCATCTCTAGATTAGATCTTGATACAAGATTGATCCGAGCCTGATATTTCGTGAACAGAGTTGGTTAAAAAAATACCCAGTCTGAGATCCTTAAAGCTTTTTGTTTATAAAGGACTTCAGAAAATAGCTGATGTGTGGTGGCTCATCCTCTGCAGGAAATACAAGTTTTCTGGGATGTGCACCCTCAGGAATTTGGTGCTGCTGACCTCCTCTACAGCTGAGCTGTTGATGAGCAGTGGAGCAGGCTGGTTCTTCCTGAAGTCAACGATAATTTCCTTCATTATCTCCACATTCAGGATAAATGTGCATAACTTTATTAGTGAGGGTCTGTCTTAAGTAATTTAGTTTCAAAATATAAATGTTGGCTCATTGTGATTATCATAGATTGACCATGAACTGGTTTTGGTGCCTATATAATTTTTTGGCCACCCCTATGCACATTTTCTGGAACCGCCAGTGCTCAGCCATAGATTTACTATAATATTATTTCATTGCCCTACTATTATTTAATCTAAGTTAAATAATTGAAGCATATACATTTTTTAGCTGAAATGAATGAGGATTTTTTTTTTCAATTTTAATATTTTTTTATTTGTAAACGTAAAATTTCCTATAGTCTATCATAAATAGTCCTTAAGATGCAAAAACATTGAAATGTAAGTTATAATACAGCGATGCCGTGTTTGAAATGTTGGGTCCTCCTCTACGGAAGAGGATTAGATTCACTGAAATTAAAAAAAAAAGTGCACTGATTTTTAAAATTTATTTCAGGATAATATGAGAAAAATGTCAGAATTCTGACTTAATCTCAGAATTCTGACTTTAATCTAAAAATTTTTGTATCTTAATGTAGATGGGCACCATGAAGGAAGAGATGTGGGAGCACACAGCTTCACTGACGAAGATGAGAGTTTTTTGAGAAGGCCAGTAACACATTGGTGGAAAATGATGGAATTAGGTGACTTTTTACGTGCTATTTCATTAATGGAAGAGCAGAAGTTGATTAAAACAAGAGAGCTAGTTTAGTCCTTAAAACAGACATGGCAACGACTTGATGCTAACATGTTTGTTATCTGTCAGATTTCTGAGAGAAAGAAATCGGAATTCTGAGAAAAAAAGTCAGAATTCTGAGATTAAAGTTAGAATTCTGAGATTAAAGTTAGAATTCTGAGAT